CTCGGCATATACATCAAATAGTGCCCGGGGTACTCGTCAACTACTCTCAGAATGTTCAAAGGTTTATCAATCGTCCCCAGAACACTCATCGCAAGGCCGAGGACAGTCAGTCGCAACTTTGGTTTTGAAGGACCCTCCGACGTATTCGCCGGAAAAGCCCACGGTCACCCCGGCGCCTCCAACGAAGCCACCATAAATACCGCCGGAAACACTAAAAAGCACCAGAAGGGAGGTAGGAACTTACGTGTTGCGGTGGCGTAAAGGTTGTCGCGTTGAACAGAGAGATTGTGGAGGTCGAACAGAAAGATTGAAGGCGTCAGGCAGATATCTCAAGATGTCGAGCAGCAGCAAAAGAAATGAATGAACGAAAGGACAACTTGGATCCGTGTATATATACGCCCTAGCATGAAAAATGAAGCGTTGCTAAACACTCAAGTACCTGGCCCGTAGCCCCCGCAGGAGGACACATGGTGACCCTCCGTCGTCCCTGCGCCTCTTCAGATTCCCATCCTCGACCGCAGGCTCCCCTTAAATCATGGTTGTGACCTGCCCGACGTAGCGAGATGCCTGACTCCTTTCGCACCTTAAATTGCAGCTCGCTTGTCCGCGGGCAACGACTTGGGGGGCTACTGTTCTGGACTGGGCCGACGCCTGGCCCATCGTTGGACAGGCCCAAACCCCACCTGGTCGGAAGGCCCAATAAGACCTCATCGACCAACACTAGAAGGTCCGTCGGCCAGAACATCTTCTCCCGTCGGACACAGACCAACAGCCGTCGGGCAGAACCTTCTTAGCTGTTCGACCAACCTTCTTCTTCCCTACGTCCGGGCAGAGCCTAGCAAGCCCGAGGAGCTCCTCAGGCCTTCTCCACGTTCTCTACGTATCCCCTACGTGGGGACACGTCATCAAGTAATTACCCGTGTCCTGATGATTCGGTCCTCCACCTCTCGAATAGCACGAAACAGTTACACTAGGAAGAAGACCACGTATTGGTCTTCACGACGCCACGTCAGCCCTAGCAGTTATCAACGTTGGGCCTGGCAGCCCAACCCAATGCATGGTAACCGTTGGCGCTACGTCGGGGGCTCATTATAAATATCTTCTTCCACTAGAGGGTCAGGTAATCAATTATGACTCCTTTTCTATGTACTTGTAATCTCTCCGCACGTCGCTTACTTTGGCATCGGAGTATGTTTCAGGTAAACCCCCATCTGTCCGTCAAGTCTACCGTTCGACAACTCAGACGCGTGGCAGTCCATCGATCTCTCTAATCAGGTACGATCACCTACCATTCAAGACATTATGCTCTAGTATAACATTTTTGAAATGCTTCAATGAGGAAAATTCCATTTCAACCTTGAAATTAAAATCCTTTGTAATTGCATCTTCTTCATTGAGCCAAATCACATTAGGCTTATCCTCGCAATTCTCATAATCTTTCCCACTATCTAGTACATCAGAGATATACTCTTCTTCTATGATATGTTCCTTTGTTATGTCTTGTGTGAGTAAGTCATTGTGGGGTGGTTAAGTGGTGGAAGCTCCATCAAAATTTGACATCTTTCTAGGATCACCTACATTTGGATTAAAACAGAAACCTCCATCCAACCCTTCATCAAATTCATTCACCGTCTCTTCCTCTCTATCATCAAAGTGTATACCTCTGACATATTCATCACTTGATTCACTATAGTGATCAACATCCTCATCAAATTTCTTTCCCTTATTTTTCTCTAACTTGATCCGTAGATGTGGAGTCATCTGTAGAAGGTTTGGGCTCAGTGTGTGTTTCAATATCACACTTACTTTTCTCAGCAAAACTAAATAGTGAATTGCATCCCCGTCATTCCTAAAGGGTTTTAGAACTTCTTTCAAACGACCATCTTCATGTTTCCACCACAGTTTCATTACCTCAACACAACACTCTGATTTGATCCCTTTAATTAGGTCATAAGCTTTAAAATAGGATCAAAAATCAAGATCTTATCAATTATATCCATAAACCTCCCCTACTTTCGTACCTTAACTTCGGATCTTTAACAAAGCAACCCTTGATATATAATACCACCTTAAGTTAACCCATGTCCGGTACATAACACAAATGGGAATGGTTAAATTTGGCATTAATGGCACAATAATACTATATTTTGGTCAAATACAGTATAAAAATACAGTCAACATTCAATAAATATTTTATAAACAAATTTTTTTTGGTCAAATACATTCAATAGTCTACATTACTATATTCAACTTTAGTAGAAGACAAAACCCTACATATAAACCGAGGAAAGAGAAATCCTAAACTATGAGCGAAAAAAGACATAATAAATTGAGGGAAACAAGTGGAACCAACCTAAACGCAAAGTGTGTAAATTGCGATTTATTAGTGTCTCAATAGTACCACTACCTGCAACTTTCAATGCCCTCAACAACTTGAAGGATCACACTAAAATGCAGGTTTCAATGTTTGGTATGGAGCTTAAAATGAGAACTAAGATTTAGTCGTGATAGAAGAGAAATGCTTCGTACACAACTTTGGATTAGAAGTTTTGAGCAACATGAATGGAGTTGAGAAAGAAGTTTTGTAAAATAGAAGGATTTAAAATAAAATAGGATTCATAAATCTCTTTTAAGTTTTTCTTTTTTAGCAATTATTATTTTAAAATAAAACAAATATTTCTTATATTTAGTTTCATATTTCATGATGAAATATTAAATAATCTAACAATGTTCATCTTGACCATTTATTTTTCAATCAGAGTGTTAAAAATGTGTCTGTTGTCTCTCCACGCCAGCTTCTTTTAATAGAAGTTAACTAAATGGACTAAATATAAAAATAAAAAATATTAAGAGGATTATTGTTTATAAAAATTTTATGGATTAAAAATGAATTTTAATATATTTAAAAAAATAATTAATTTATTTAAATCTTATTTTATTTTGCTTAACAAAGATAATATTATATATATATATATATATATATATATATATATATATATATATATATATATATATATATATATATATATATATATATATATATATATATATATATATATATATAATATATATATATATATATATATATATATATATATATATAAATATATATATATATATATATATATATATATATATATTATATATATATATATATATATATATATATATATATATATATATATATATATATATATATATATATATATATATATATATATATATATATATATATATATATATATATATATATATATATATATATATATATAATATATATATATATATATATATATTATATATATATATATATATATATATATATATATATATATATATATATATATATATATATATATATATATATATATATATATATATATATATATATATATATATATATATATATATATATATATATATATATATATATATATATATATATATATATATATATATATATATATTATATATATATATATATTATATATATATATATATATATATATATATATATATATATATATATATATATATATATATATATTTATATATATATATATATATATATATAATATATATATATATATATATATATATATATATATATATATATATATATATATATATATATATATATATATATATATTATTCTTAGCAAATTTCAATAAAAAAAATTATGATAGAATATAAAAATATCCTTAAGTAAATTTGACTTTTATATGTAGAAACATATGCACTTGTTTATGCAAAGCTGTTAAAATGGATTATCCGATTTTAAATGGGACGACCTTGATAAGTCTTGAGTTTTTTTAGTGTTGGATTAAAAAAAAAATTATCGTAATATGACCTCAAAAATTACTACCCCAATTTTGGGTTACCCAATCCTAAATGAAATTCTTTTTAATAAAAATTAAAATAAATTCCTATAATATTTTATAATAAAATTAAAAATTATATCATTTTAAACAATAAATTTTTTAAATATTATATTATATTTTATAATATTATAAATGTGTTTTTAAATATAATTCTAAATGAATAGCATATTTTTTAGGGTTGAACTAAAAAAAATTTTGAAAAATATAAACTCTAATTTTAGGATCCAAGTCTTATAATTTTTGGATTTGACGGACTGACCCATATAAACTAACCTATTAATAGCTCAACACTTATCCAATCAATACTCAACACTTATCCAATCAATACTCAATCTATAATCTATAGACGCTTAAGTTGTGTATCTAGAAAAAGACTTGAATAGCTTATGAAATGGTGACAAACTCTTCAAATTAATTCATCCAAACCGTCTTACATATGAAACACAAACATCTTTAGAAATAGGCATATCGTGGTGTCCGCCACATGTCAGTGTATGACACTTGTATGACATCCATATAACACATGTTAGAAAAATCAAATAAATGTCAGAAAAGTCAGACAAGTTTTCAAAAAATTTTTTTTTTCTTTGCTTCGACACATTTTGAATCAGTATCTGATACCCATATGACATTCATACAACATGATTCTAATAACTCAAACAAGTTTTCTTTTAAAAAAATTGTGGTTTTCTTTTCCTTAACACGGTTTATACATTTTTAAGACAAATTTCACGCACGATTAAAATGGTTAAAGATGTATTGAAACAATGTTTTCAAAAAAGAATTAAAGACATTAATTTTGATTAGAATATTTTTTAACTCTTTTGATATTAAAGGAATAAATGAAACTTAAATACTATGACATATATAACCGTGTCGGTGTCCTAGATTATTGACACACATCGGTGTCAAAGTGTTTGTCCGTATTGGAATTTGTGCTTAATAGGTTCTTACAAATGCTTTTACTAAAAGATAATCTCAAAGTGATACTTTTGCACTTCAATCTTGTTTAAAAAGAAAAAAGGAGTAAAAAGTAACTTAGCTCTTTATATCATGAAAATTAATATGAAAAATACAATGTTGAATGACTCATCTTTTAGCTGAAAAAAGTTGCATGTTTAGTTTAGTCCACTAGAGACTGAAACCTTATTGACAACCTCCTCTTCCATTTCAACTAGTTGATTGCAGAACATTTCAACATCGTTTGCGTCTTGCTCGAACATGAACCTGAACTCTTTCCATTGATACTGACCAACACCGTCTTTCAAAACTGGACCAGTAACTTTTGCCAGCACATCAAACCCCTTGCGATCAACGGATGTTACGTAAGCATCCTTAATACAACACCAGAAGCTTCGTTAGTAGTTGTTCAGATTATATATTATGAGAACAAAAAACAAATTAAACAAAGGCTAACATGGTTAGTCATCAGACAAGATTATATTATTTCTTAGAATGATCAAGGTGTCTTGCAGCCATGAGAAGAATTGAGATCATTAAATTACCTTTGCATTGGCATTCATGTAAACAAAACATAAAAGCACAAGGGCTCTACGCCTAGTCTCGCTTTGGTTAATCCCGTCAATCAACTTTGCTGAAAATGGAGCTAAACAAGAAAAATACGAGAAATGAATATTTTGTTACGTAAATAAGAGATAGTGGACTGATGCATTTCAAACCAGGTCTTCACCTAATAGATCAGCTTTGGATGTTCCTAAATCTTCAACATCCACGTCAAAAGTGCTTCCATGGCCATCAATAAATGTGCAAGATCTGAGCATTTAACTCTTATATCAGAGGTGACAAACGGTTCAGATTTTAAAATTTCACACATAGTTAATGGTTGTCCTAATTATACTTCAATGGGCAGAGGGCAAGTGTTCGGAATTAGGGGAAGAGCTAATCTAGATACTAGAAGCAGATATGCACAGATATGATTATATGAAACAGCGCAATTCAAAACAGAGATTTAAACACGCAAGTTCCTACCTTGTTTTAAATCTATATACAGAATATCTTTCGGTGTTTCCCAATAGTTGCTGAAGATTATCACTTCGTGATGTACTGCTACCACTAGAACTTAGTACTCCAGAAACACTGTAACTGAACTCTTCAGTTGATTTTTGCTCAGATAGTATGATTTCGTTAAGTTTTTCTGCCAGTGACTTTGCCTACACCAAGATCAATAATGCGTCAATATCAAGAACAGGTCTATATTAATATACAATGTCATGATGAAATATCCTTCTGACCATTATCTAATCCTTTAATCCTTTCATATGAAAAAGATGATGGAGCATAAAAGTGAAAGTAGTGTTATGCATTTTAGTAAAGGATCTATTGATTTATATATTAAGAAATGAAACACGAACATAGACACTGACAAGATAGACACCAATCATAATAATTTAAGAACACATTTAGGATCCAGACATATCTTCGATCTGAAATGTTGGTTCTACATTACAAAATAGAACACAATATGCAAAACAATATTAAAGCGCTGTCTAGTATCATCCATGCTAGTCTGAGATATAGTTAGAAGAAATAAACAAGATATGTTGCCCATATAGGGGTTGAAAAGAAGAGTTGGCCATTTCAGTGAGGATTAGAATTTGGACTGCGATTTACATACTTTTTGCATATTCTTTTTAAGGTTAATGGAGATGTATTGTCTATCTAAAATAGTTTTACATTGGCATCTATTGAGATATCTTCATTTTGCCACACAAGCCTATATTATAACCGTATTTTTAAAATAACTTTAAAATGCTTGATTATTATTGGGCATCAGAGATAAAAAGCAAGCATAAGAAAAGATGTTTTAGCAATACCTTATCTTCTTTGAGAGGAAGAACATCCCCAGATAAAGCAACCCTTGCTGGTAACTGCAGCATGTGAATGGACTAATTAGCTTGTACCTTACTTCTTATTATTATAATAGAATCTGAAACAGTGCTGTCAATCGCAAATTGTGAAAAATAGTAGTTTATTCATATTATGACACACAACAGTGCTATAGCTTCTATTTGACAAGATTTTGACTAAATAGCATATCGTAGAAAATAGTGATTTGTTCAAATTCTGTGATACAATGCGCTATAGCCGCTATTTACCAGCAATGATCTGAAAAAGGCACCATTAGGACAAAAGTCCTTTATTAGTGATTTCTTGGAGAACCAAGCAAAAGTTTAAAAAAATTGCATGATATTATTTTCATTACGAGAAGAAAATATGTATATCGTACAGGCATACACAACCTTTTTCAATGATTTCAAGATGACTCCTAGTCGGCCTGGAAAGGGACTGGTCACAGCGAATGAACCACGCTCGTCAATGATTGTGTTCTGCATAACAAAAAATCAAACCGGTCATCCTGCAACTACCAAAAGTACTCAAATGATTTGTCAAGACCCAGTGTTGTCGATGGCAAATGGCGAAATATGGCACAAGGCCAAAAACCAGCCAAAACAGACAAATACCTCAGAAAAACAATTCAGCGGACTTGAGGTCAAAATAGATACATTCATGTTAAACTTCTTTCGACTTATCATCTTCACATTGAACACAAAAAAGAAGCAACTCTAAGAAAAAGGAAAATGGAGAGGCAAAAAGCATACCATATTATGCAAATCATTTTCTGGCACCCAAAGGTATGGCTGGCCCCTTCTAAGTATGTATTTAACCTTAGACGTATGGATATCTCCTTTGCTGTTCAAATCATACAAAAGTAACAACAAAGACCCATTACAAGCCGGCTAGTGCACATTTCAATCGACAGTGACTTTGATGAAATCACGGTCTATCATCACAATTATTGCAAAAGCTACATTTTGGAGCATCAACAAAATCAATGTCACCGTAAATTCGCCAAACTCACCGTCAATCTAAATATATACTTAATCAATAACAAAACATTCACACCCTACGTTCTAAATCTTAATAAGTATCATGGAATTGAACTATCACAAAAAATGAGAGAAAACAGAAAGTGTATGAAACAGTTTGGAGATTGTATATTCAACTCAAGAATAAACTGAAGTGTGTTACAATGTTATATAGATTAACATTTCTTACTCAGCCCCAACTATCTCCTAACCTATGTAGCACCGACACCTTTGAATAAAAGTTTGCTCTATCAGTGTCTGTCCGAAACTGAGACTGATACTTGTGATTACGTTTAATTTATTTATTTTTTCAAATTATTACCCGTGTCGGTGTCGTGTTTCGGATGTCAGTGTTTCATAGCTCCTAAGTGATTATAAACAGATTGTTACCGAAAACTAAGTGTAGTTAACTAGTGACTAACTCTCATCGGCTATTCAACAACCATATATAAAAATACTTCAACAATAAGTAACAATAAAAAGCAAAAAAACTTTACGCAAAACTTCATGTTGTGCAAGGAAGTAAGGAGTAAGGACCAAAGTTACCTTCCTTTAGCATCTACTTTGATGGTATTAAGAGAACCTTGCCAGTTTGACGCAATATATTCTGCATATATGCGATTGAAGTAAAATCATGCATGAAATGAAATGAAACATAGCAGAAAATAAAAATGGGAAACAAACTGTGGAATTGGAGAAGAGAAGAGAAGGAGAAAGAACCTTGCATTTCTCCGCGAATGTTAAGACCGTTGTTTTGCTGCGTTTCATGGTTTTGCAGTGTGCACACCACCTGTTCGAGAAAATTATAGTGGTGTTTGGGAATAGGGCTGTAAGCAAATGTTATGCCAACTTCAGATTTACCAGCAGCACTTTTGTATTTAGACTTAAAATGATAATTTATAGGTTCTCTTGAATTTGTGTGTTTTGTGTATTTGATTTATGTGTAACTAGTGTCCAGAAGGGCACTCGCGTGCCCGTCTATCCGCTTTTTTATTGCACACATATAAATATAAATGATATATTTTTATTTAATATTAATTTTACATGAAAGTTATTAGTAGGGAGTTATATGAAAGATGATAGTAGTAGTTCAATGGAAGTTATTGCGTAAGTTATATATTTTAAAATAAGGGTAAATTTGGTATAAAAAAAGTTACACCAAAAACCAAATATTGCCTTATATATGTTATAGAAGATGTAAAATATAAAAGTGTTCTCATATCTATTTTAATTTTTATTTTACGTTAATTTTAATATAATATAATATCATATTTAATTATAATTTTATTATTAAGAAACTTGAACATTCATTAAGGTCACGAAATATCATTATAAATAGTAAATAAATATAATATAGTGATGCTTAAGAAATATTTATAAAAGATATATAAATTAAGTAGTCTTTGTTCGTCAAAAATATATATTTTAGTTGAAAAAATAAATTAAACAATAGAAAAATAAGAAATTTCGGTCCGTAGGGCATGTACTCCATTTTAAATAGTCTTTACCAGTAAGAAATGTATAAAATAAAACTTTTATTGTCATATGAGCTTATATACTATAATCCAGAAAACATACATGTCAAAAATAGACTTATTAATAATGAGCATCTCCTTCGTAACACTATCAAATAATGGGTATGTAATTTCTTGTGTCGAATCAGGTTGTTCGACAGAAATAAGGTAGTGTCAAAATAATCTAGTGTGTCTGAGTTGTGTAGTTGTCGAAGTGTCGAAGAAGTTAGTCTCGACATGGATTTCGACTTAAGGCTAATTTTGTAGTGTTAGCATATTTAAGTATTTTACGCTTTGTATTTTTGGACTTTGTTTAAGGAACAAACAAATCCAAAATCTATAAATAGTGAGTAACCCCTATTATTGTAAAACAATTTTTGCAGTTACAAAGAATAATATTCAATTTTGAATAACAGAGAGAAACTCTGCAAAATTCTCTTCTTACATATTTGATTCAAACCCTAATTTCTTTTTCTTCTCAATTCAATTTTTCTTTCTTCTTTCATTAACAATTGTTGCGCATAATCATTCTTGCAATCAAGGTGTGATTGATTCACTTGAGTGAAAGTGATGAACAAGAGAGGAATTCGATCGGCTAATGAGTCTTGTTCATCAAAATTGGTTCGGAATTCTCCAATATTAGGTTAATTCCAACATATGGTATCCAGAGCTCCGATTGTGATTCGTGGAAACAAAACGCGATGGCGATGAATCATCCAAACAGACATTTTTTTTACAATTCTTCTGATTCTGAAGAACAATAATTATGAGAATTGGTGCAAGCAGATGGAGGTTGTTTTCTGTTATCAAGATCTTTGGGATCTTGTGAAGAAAGGAGTAACACTGCTTGCAGAAAATGCGATGGATGGAGAAAAGAATACACACACAAAATTAAAGAAGAAAGATTATAAAGCTCTCTTTATAATTCATCAATGCGTTGATCCAGATAATTTTAAAAAGGTTAGTGATGTAGAATCAACGAAAGAAGCATGGAAAATTATGGAGAAATTGTTTGGAGGCGTAGAAAAGGTGAAAGAGGTGAGGTTACAAACTCATAAAAGTACCTATGAGTTGCTTCAGATGAAGGACAATGAAAGCACAACCCATTTCTTCACTAGAGTTACGATACTTGAGAATCAAATCAAGGTATGTGAAAAAGTGTTGACATCAAGATCAGTTGTTGCAGAAATCTTGAGGTCATTGGTTCTGAAATTCGACCACGTGGTAGTATCCATATAAGAGTCGAAAGACTTGTTAACATTGACAAAGGAAGAGCTTTAAGAGACGCTTGAATCTCATGAACAAAGAATGGCTGAAAGAGTTGTAGGAAAGTCGAAGAGTGATGTGCCTTTGCAGACGCAATTAGTAAAAGATAATAAAGGCAAAGGAAGTTGGAATGGCAACAAAAGCAAAGAAGGCTACAACAATTCGACTGGTTAAAATCAGCAAGAAGGAAACTGGTCGAATCAGAGAACCCCTTGGAACCAAAACAACCAAAGAGGTGGTGCTGCAGGTAGAGGAATAGGCGGTGGTAGAAAATCTGACAAAGGTCACATTCAGTGTTACAATTGTCAGAAGTATGGTCACTATTCTAGTGATTGTCTTGAAAAAATAAGAATCAAGAAACTAATGCAAAGCTGGTGAAACATGATGAAGAATAGGAGATGTTGCTAATGCTTATAACAAGAGATGAAGAGAGATTCAAGGATTAGTGGTACTTGGACTCAGGATGTTCATCACACATGTCTGGAAGGAAATATTGGTTTGTCAACATAAAGCCCTCAATGAAAAACATGGTGAAATTTGCAAATGACAATACTCTAGCAGCTGAAGGTATTGGTGATGTTCTGATTATGAGGAAAGATGGCAAAAGGTCAGTAATTTCTAATGTGTTGTATATACCAGGCATGAAGAGCAATTTGCTCAGTATAGGGAAGCTGGTTGAAAATAATTACAAAGTGTTTATTGAAGACAAGATGATGAGAGTTCTCGACTCAGGTGGTAGGTTAATCTTGAAGGCACCAATATTTCAGAATAAAACCTTCAAGATTGAACTTAATATGATGGAGCATAAGTGTCTTGCAACTACAACCAGCAGAGATGAATGGATATGGCGTTATAGACTTACTCATCTCAATTTCAAAGGCATCAGAGATTTGAAGAGAAGAAATATAATTTTAGGATTACCAGAAATCGACATTCTAAGTGAAGTGTGTGAAGAATGTGTTCAGGAGAAATAACAAAAGAATAGATTCAACAAGGATGCAGGAAGCAAGTAGAAGGTAACTCTTGAAGTTATATACTCTAATGTGTGTGATCCTATCCAGGTGGATTCGATTGGAGGTAATAAATACTTGTCACATTCATAGATGATTTTAGTTGAAAATTGTGGGTGTATCTGATCAAGAAGAAACTTTAAGCGATTAAGGTATTTGTCAAGTTTAAATATATGGTCGAAAGCTAAAGATTATGAGGATTGATGGTGGTGGAGAGTATATGTCAAAAGATTTTGATGCTTTTTGTGAGAAAGAAGGGGTTGTGCATGAGGTGGTGTCACCCTGCACTCCAAAGTAAAATGGAACTACAGAAAGGAAGAATAAAACTATCATGAATATGGTAAGAAGTATGTTGAGAGGTAAACATCTACCCATGAATTATAGGGAGAAGCTGTGTCGACTGCAATATATATCTTGAATAAATGTCTGACGAAGAAGCTAGAAAGAATCATGCCAGAAGGATGTTTGTCTGGTGTCAAGCCTATTCAAAGCCATCTGAAGGTGCTTGTATCTATAGCACATAGACATGTGCCAAATCAGTTAAGAAAACTTGATGACAAGTCGAGTCAAATGATCTTGATCAGGTATCATTTGACTGTAGGATAGAAATTGTTTGACCCAGTGAACAAGAAATTTGTGATCAACAGGGACGTGATCATATATGAGTTTGAGGAATGGGATTGGACTTAGAATGTTAAGAAGGATTCAATGAGAATCTTATGTGAAGAACTAGCTAGTGAAGTCGAAAGAGAAGTTCGACAAGAAGAAGTCAGAGGTGAAGCAAGCCCAGGTAGACCTCAACGAACAAGACGCATGCCTGCAAGGTTGCAAAAATGTGTGATTACATCATATGGTATGGTCAATGAAGAAGGTGAGCTGGTACACTATACTTTCTATGTAGATGTCGAACCAGTCAATGCAGCTAAGACAATGAAAGATTCAAAGTGGGTGAAAGCAATGAATAAAGAACTAGAGTCCATCGAAGTTAATAAGACTTGGTAACTTATCTAATTGCCTCGAGGAAATAAGGAAATCAATGTGAAGTGGGTATACAAGGTGAAGTTGAATCCCAAAGGAGAAATAACTCGACACATGACAATACTTGTAGCAAAATAATCTCTTCAGAAATAAGGAATTGATTTCGACAAAGTCTTTGCACCAGTTGCTAGAATTGAAACAATCAAGTTGGTTGTTGGTCTAATGAACATGAACAATCGATACATGTGTCAGATGGATGTGAAATGTGCATTTCTAAATGGCCCCTTAGATGAAGAAGGTTATGTTGCACAACTAGTTGGGTTTGTGAAACAAGGTCAAAAGAGAAAAGTATACAGACTGCATAAAGCCCTGTATGGACTCAAACAAGCTCCAAGAGCTTGGAATAAGAAGATAGATAGTTTTCTAAGGGAGAAAGAATTTTTGAAGGCACAACTGAGCATTAAGTTTATGTAAGAAGAAGCAATAGTGAATTTCTTATAATGTGTCTCTATGTTGATGACCTGTTGATAACAGGTAGCTGCAAGAAAAAGATCGAAGATTTTAAAGGTGATCTTAGCAAGGAGTTCAAAATGTCTGGTATGGCTAACATTTCTTACTTCCTTGGTATCGAATTATACAAGAGTAGTAGAGGTTTGATGATGCATTGAAGAAGATATGCAAGTGAAATAATCAAAAGATTTGAGATGGAAGACTGAAATGCGACTTTGACACCTGCAGAACCAAGATTGCAATTGTCAGAAGAATCAAATGAAGATGATGCATTGAAGTAACTCAGTACAAAAGACTTATTGGGTAATTAAGATACCTTTGTCACAAAATGCCTGATCTAGCATACATCGTAGGTATGGTGAGTAAATTCATGCAGAAACTAAAGGTATCTCACCTAGTAGCGACAAAAAGGATACTGAGGCATCTGAAAGAAACTCTCGACTATCAAATTTTATTTTCTGCGATTGATGAAGGAAAAGAATGCAAACTA